TCTCTCCTCCTCCTCCTCTCTCTCTCTCTCTCTCTCTCTCTCTCTCTCTCTAGGTCAATCATCCTGCTCAGTATTGTTGGATTCACTTCAGAGCCTTGGGTTTTGTTGGAAAAACAAAGTAATTTGGTGTTTCAACCGATTTAGAGAAAGATTTTGGAATAAAAAATAATAATGTAAATAAAGTATATATTTATATATAAAAAAATATTAAAATAAAAAATATTTTGAAAATAAAAAATTCAAATTGTTTTTTTTTTAAAAAATAGTTTGATAGAGGCTGTAGCTCTATCAAAACAAGTAAAATCTCACCTCATAACTCATCGAAAATTACAATTTAAGCATTAAAAAACCTTTACATTAATCTTCATAGCTTGAACATTATCATTTTGAAAAAAACAAGGATTTCAACTTCTAAAAATAATGTATGTTGTAATAGATTATCTAGATCGTCCTTGTTCATATATCCACAAGATTTGTATCATTTTTCGAGTTTCAAATTTCATTATCAGTGTTGGAAATTGATTTTAGAGCCATCATGGAAATTTTTTGTTGCCAAAGGTGCTTTCAGGACAAGGATTTGAGGAGAGGCTTTATTTTGTTTTTATAAAACTAGGCCTTATAAAAACCTCATCCTTAAAAATGACAATTATATGCTTCGGCCCAAGAGACCAATCAAATCGAAGCGTGTCGGCCAAAATGGCTGAATCAAACCGAAAAGGGCCGAAGTAAGCCAAAACAGATATACCAAAGCTTCGCTTCACTTTGATCTAGGCCCAAAATCCAAAGAATTTAGCCTCTTCGGCCGAACCAAGCTGATGTTATAATATTGATCCCATCTTTTAACTCTCAAGCTCTCTGTCGTCTCTCTCTCTCTCTCGCGCGTCCTTCCTAGCTCAATGATCAACTCTCTACTCTTTACTAAGAGCCTCTTATTATGTTACAAAGAAAACCAAAATGGGTGCTCACATCCTTAAAGGTGGGACCCAGAATATCATGATGTGGCATCCTCAAGGCCCACAAACCGATGATTGGCCCTCCAAAGAGAGCACTATATTGGACCACGTCAGCGAAGGGCTCCCACGTTAGCAATTTGGAGGGGAAGCGGGAAAAGGAGGGCCGGCCCTTTTGTCCTTCAAAATTTAGTGGGGTGAGGCGCCCATTTGTCTTCCCTTCTACTTAAAGACCAAATTTTTGGATTATTTCCTTAAAGGCCATATTTCCCTTGCTCATTGTGAGTGACCATATTACCCCCATGTCGTTGTTAACCCTAGTATTGTGCAGTAGTTCAGCTTACTTCTTGAGTAAAGTCTGTCATATCCAATGCTTTAAAAACTGCATACTAGATTAGAACAGGCCGATTCAGATCGGAAATTGGTCGGGCTGGTTTGGTTTTGTCAAAGTATTAAGAACATGCCGGTTGCTCTCTGGAACTAACTGATTCTAGCCGGTTCTATCAAAGAACCAATCCCATTCTAATTTTTAACACTTTTTTTATTTTTTGTTGTCTAATTTTTTAAAATTTTCATTCACCAGTTCACTAGGCTAAATCACCGATTTGGATATCCGATCTGTTGTTTTGGACATCTGATCTGTTGTTTTGGACTAGTTTTCCAGATGGACACTCTGGGTCACTTGAACCTTGTATTTAAACCTTGGTCATATCATTAACACTATCCTAAGTTCTTGCCATTCAAACATCAAGGGTATGATATCAATTACATTTTTCATCTAATTTAAATCAAAATGTCTCACATAGCATATGCTACACCCTTGAAGTTTTTCTATAGTCACATTCACAATAGTGATAAACATTGATCTTATAGAAATTTGAAGATGCAATGATATTAGATGCAAGTAAAACCAGTTTGGTTAGAAAATGTTTATACATGGAAAAAGTTTATATAGAGTCAAGGTTCTAAACAATCAAATTAGAGCCACCTAAAAAATTTCACTAGAAGAGGTAATTTTGATGTCCAAATATCTTCAAATTGATCATCTCAACATCAAGATGCATGGACATGAGAAAAAGAAATGGATTTCAAATTTTTAAAGTAGTGCATCTGGCAATGCATCTCTTAGTCTTCCTCTATATGAGAATTGGATGTATTATTTTTGTGTTGTAGGTGTAATATTGGACTTATGTTGATGGTTCCTAACATTTTTAATAAATTTCAATCGGTTTTTACTCTGTGTTTTATTTTTTCTTCAATATTTATCATTGTGCTTGTGCATGTGAAAGGGCAAGCAAAACTTACAAACTAGAAGACGGGTAGTTTCGTCATTTTCAATATAAATTGACTTACTTGATATTTGGAGCATAGCGCGAGTTTTTTTCGTCATTCGCTATGAATATTTTCTCTCGCCTTTTGTCTAAGCCTCATCTCTTTCTCTCTCTGCGTTCTCAGAGCCCAAGGCGCTTTGCTTCTCCTAAGCCATGGCGAGGTCTTCTCTATAACCTATTCTCTCTCTTCTTAACAATAAAAAACATATTCTCTCTCTATTCCTATAAATCTTTCTCTCTCTTAAAATCTCGCTCTCTCTCGTCGTTAGATAGGGCATCTTCTTGGTGTGGATCAGAGGCGACGAAGTCCAAAAATCTCCTTCTTCTTTTCTCACGCCAAACCAGTAAGCTCTCAGATCTAGCCTTCTCTCTCTTGGCATTAAAATTAGGGTTTTTGCCTCTCTCTCTTCATTGACATGCATGCTTTCGTTTTCCTATAAGATTTTCAAATTATTTATACCACCAATCTTCCCCTTTTCTGGTTAGAGGTTCAGGACCTTTGACAATCTAGGGTTTCTTTAATTTCTTTCTCTATTCACCGTTTTCTCTCTGTTCTTTCAATGTCTGACTTCATTTTCCGATGAGATTGCCATGAATTACTCATTTATACCACCATTGTTCCCCTTTCTGGTTTTAGTTTATAAGTTAAGGCCCTTTTAGCTACCTATTGATCCTGGGAAAACGAGGGTTTTTGCGACTTGATCATCGTTTCCCCTTCTCTCTCTGTCTCTCTCTTTGCATCCATGCCTTCCTTTTCCTATCATATTTCTAGAAGTTGTTTATACCTAGAATCTGCTCCTTTCAGGTTCTGGTTTGTTAAGGTCCTTTAATCCTCTATTGGTCATTTGAGATTTTAGGTTTCGCATTGCATGGCAAAAGGAATGATGTGTGGAAGCCCTAACCCTAGTGAAAGGGAGCAGTTCTTTGAGCGTTTTGTTATTGGTACAAGCCCTCGAAGTGGCCTGAAACGTGAATATGAATTCGCCAGAAGGGTTCAATCGGAGATTTCTGCTTCTCTTGGCAAAAGGCGGGGATCTACAAAAGATGATTCAGGCCAAAGCCCTATCAAGGAACCTAACAATAAGGGAAATTATAGTTCTAAAGATGGTTCAGACCAAAGCCCTATCAAGGAACCTAACGACAAGGGCAATAATAGTTCACAGGAAATTGGCCAAGCTTCTTTAATAGGGAATGCGTCAACAGAGCATGAGGTAGAAATTCTTGGTGCTTCTCCTCCTCAAACTCTTAGAAAGAGAATCACTCGTTCAATTTCTCGTGCGAATGCTGCTGCCTTCTCTTTGCCTGAAATATCCTCTCTCGAAATGAAGATTGAAGGCCCTGAAGGCATTCAGGTTTTCAAGAGAAGAAGATGGACTCGGGAACAGGGAAACAAGGGATTTGAGGGAAAACTGATTGACGATTCAATGAATAAATTAATGAATAGTGAACGAAAAGAATCATTGGAATCAGAGAGCAATCTGTTAGAAGGCTGCAAAGATAAACCAACACAGATGGAATTGATTGGGGAACCTGTTTGTTGCTCTCCGGTTAATTCTTCAGCTAGTGATATGAAAGAAGTGGTAGGAACTCAAGAACCAGCAAGACCCATTACTGAAGTTGGCGATGTTGATAATGGGGAACCCCTAGTTGTGAAATCTGAGATTTGTGAAGAAGGGGTCGCTCGACAAAATGATGTTGGAAAGCGCGAACCAAAATTTTTGAAGTCTGAGATTTGTACAGATGGGGTTCCTCAAGAAAATGATGTTTTAAAATGCGAAACCCCTATTTTGGATTCTGAAATTTGTGAAGGGGTTTCTGGAAAGAATGATATTGAAAAGACGCAACCTGCAACTTTGCTTTCTGAATGTGAAGATGGGATTGCCCGAAGACAAAATGATGGTGAAAAGACCGAGCCTCAGATTTTGAATTCTAAGATATGTGAAGATGTGGTTGCTCGACCAAATGATGTTGAAAAGTCCGAGACCTCAATTTCAAATTCTGAGATTTTTGAAGATGGAGTTTCTCGAGAAAATGATGTGGTTGCTTTTGAGACTAAAAATTGTGTGGTACAACAAAGTGAAGGAGCTATGGACTTGGACTCCGGTATTCAGGGAGAAGAGGTTGAAAATGTTTCAAGAACTCCTGCTAATGAATCAAAAAGTATTATTTTGTTGAATGATAGCAAAGACGAAGTGGGCACTAGCATGGATAGAGAGATGTCTAGCGATGCTCCTGGTTCTTCGACTAAAGCAAGCAGTTCATTGAGAAGCTCGGCTAGAAAGAAGCTCGAGCTGAAGATGTCTAAGAAGATAGCCCTTACCAAGTTTCCCTCTAATGCCAGGGAGTTGCTTGCAACTGGTTTGCTTGAAGGATGCACTGTTCACTATATATTTCGTGGGAAAGGGGTAACTTTTTGTGCTATTCTTATTTGTTTCTTTATTGGTTAAATACGGCCATCATTTCTTTGAATACTTATCCATGTCTTTTTTTGTTGTTGTTGTAATTCATTGTTATTGTAGTTAAATACCTTTTTGTGCTTATGTATTTACTCCCTTTATTAGGAGCGGCTTCGTGGGACTATTAAAGAAGGTGGAATTTTGTGTTACTGTTCATCGTGCAATGGCAATAAAGTGAGCTAATTATTCTTCCCTTTTTTTTGTTTTTGAACTTTTTCTCGTGTACTTAGCTTTTCTCATTATCAATGGATTTGCTTTCGACCTGCTCAAACTATGAAATTGTTGGTTAACAGATTGTGAACTCTTTTCAATTTGAGATCCATGCTGGTAGCTTACACAAGCGTTGCTCTGAGTTTATCTTCTTGGACAATGGTAAGTCTTTTCGTGATGTATTGAAAGAAATTAGCTTCTCTCCAAGGGACATGCTGGAAGTAACCATTCAAAATGCTATTGGCTCATCTTCCAGCTGCAAGGAGTTCCAAGGTAAACTCAACCTCTGTGAATTTTGACAACTATACAGTTTCTGCATATTTTCTCCTGGCTTTAAGATGTCGAGGGTTGTAAGATATCCTGGTTATGAATCTTGGACAGTCGGCATAAGCATACATGCTATTTGTATTGTTTTGAATCAATATAGTATGATGAACTTTACTAGAGAAATCATAAGTGGTAACTTATGCTTATTGGGCCACAATCCATTTTGCTGCGACTCATAGTGATTTATTTGTTTATTTTATATGTTGGATCAGTTCATGCATCGGGCCTAGGATTGCCAACAACTAGCAAGAAGCATTTTCCTTTGCGAAAATCTCCAAGAATTAAACCTGAGATTCAGGTGAATTTGAGGTACATTTCTTTTGCTCAAGGCCCCTTCCTCTCCCTTCAAACTTAGGAAATTGTGGAGGTTGTATTCTTGATTGCAAAAATGAGAAGCTGTTTTTCTGTCTTCTTAATCTTTGCTATAGCTACCTAGTCTATGATTCTAAGCTCCTTTACTTTGTTGTGTTTTTTTTATGCACAACTGTTTAGGAGTTTACAAGGTTTGGCTTTGTTGTGCACTTTTTGTAAGTACTGAAGGGTTGCAGAATCCTGTATGGTGAAGTCAGAAGTCTGGGGTCTTGTTCAAAGTTACTGGATGCTCAAGATCAGATTTTGGGTAAGGGAAGGCAGCCATTGGACAACATTTTTCATCTAAAGAAGTGTTATTCTACCATAGGTAGTTTTGGAAGATGTTGTTTGTGCATCCATGGGTACTGGGTAGTTGTGGCTTTGTAGCTTTTGTTTTTGTTTTTAATTTTTTAAGTGTAGCATTGTTGTAGGTTGTTTGAATTTTTTCTGGGTGTTGACAAAATGTTTATTAAGAAACAAGAGGAGACATATCTTTGTTGCACTGCAAGGGTTTTTGGTAGGCTACATATGTAAGACTGTACTGAAGGAGTAATGTCAGGTTGTGAGCTGATCAAGAGGTTGATGCCTACAACATGAAAGTTAATTTGTCTAGGACATGAGTTTGGCGGACCATGAGATGGAAGTTGGGAGCATTTTGGTGGATGCTTATGCCATTTACAGCTGTAGTACTAAAAAGGGATGTTTGCGTTTTAAATTGAGTTCTGAAAAATGTTGTATTATGTTTCTTTTGTGGCGTTCAATACATAGTTATTAGAATTGAGAGCAGGATCATGGGTGATTTAGTAAAAAGGCTTTGACGATGATGATGATTAGGAGTGATTTAGGCATTGAGAATTGGGGATTGTGAAGGGCTAGAAGAGGCCTGTGATAGGGACTGCTGCCTAAATAATGCATATTGTAGGGATCTTGATCTGACTTTTTTTGGATCTTGATCCCATTCTTTATGGAATCGTTCCCAACCTTATGGCATTGCGCAAGAGATTACGACTACACTAATTTCCAATCTTCACTGAGAACTAAAACTAGATAGTGTAACTTGAGAAATTGAACTAGTTTAGGACTACCATGTTTAATTTTTTTAAATAGATTAAAATGTATGATCAAGATCCAAAAGTTAATCCTCAAAAGGTTAGAATTGCCCCCTGGCCTTTTGTGATCTCGATACTTTACAGCAGGGATCAATATCTTGAAGTTAGAAAATCGTGATCCCTTGAAGTTCACTCTCCCAAAGCACTAGAGTGAGATTAGAGCGGAATCGTAACTAGGTTGAGTGATCTTGGTAACTATGGTTTAATGGTGTCTTGGCCTGTCGGGAACATGGAGCTTGACCAATGAGCTACTACAAGCTTTCCTACCTGGAATATCTCTACTTTTAGGGAATTCCTTTGTGGATGGGCAAAAAGACGATCTGCTGATGGCATCAAATTCTGCAATTTTTTTGTCGCTTAGGAGGGTTGAGCTGTGGGGGGCAAGCAGTTTTCACTATCGAACTTATAATATGTAGGAGGACAAAGATAATAAATTGTGTTGAAATCCCTTGAGGATAGGGAAGGATATCAGGGAAGAAGTTGTAGGGGGTTGAAGAATTTATAATCCTCAAAACTATGAGGAAACAATATTAAGAAACTATGATGCTCCATACTTGTTTATCCTTTTTGTGCTGGTTTTGTGATAAGAAACTGATATTGATTCTTGAATACTTCAAGGATACTTGATATAAACATGAATATGAAGAATATACTGAACTAGGTGGTGTTTAGAAAAGAAATTTAACATGAGCATGTGTTGTGTATGTATTCAGTTAATATGATGTGTGTATTTATCAATGCATATATTTATGCACTCTATAAGCTGTCATACGGATTCACCATTGAGTCAGATATGACTTGCATCCCAGCATGGTGTCTTGGATTACTGAACTGTAAGTAGTATCCTCAGTCCTCATATCCCATAGCAGTATGTGTGCACCTTGGTGGAGGAAGGGCCTGAAGTCTTTGGTGGCAGCATGGAAAGCATTCGAGGCCAGGTATAGCAATAATTCCTCAGCTTACGATGAAGATAAAATTGGGGATATTAGTTCCAGTGACTTTGTACTTTGCAGGTGTTTCTGCCCCCAAAACTGTGTGTTTGAAATTTGGCTTTCTTGATTAACTTAAAGAGCTGTGCCCAGTTGGTCTTTTTGAATGTGTTTTGAAATTGGCTTCCTTGATGTAGTGAGAAAAGAGTCAAGCTGGTTTTTTTAAATGCATTTAGGTCAGTGTTTTAAAATGCGGCCGCATCAGGCGCTATGCGCTGGGCATCACATCAAAATTGACCGCATATGCGATTTGGAGAGATGCGCCCGCATCTCTCCACATTAGAGCCGCATAGCGCATACACCGCATCAGGCCGCATAATTTTCTGCAATTTTTTTCAAAACAGTACCCCTCGGGGATGGGTAAAGTGGTCTTTTTGACCTTTGAAATTTGGTGGAAAGGGTTTGCAGGGTATTAAATATCCCAAACAACAGCTTTCAGCCACATTCATGGCTTTTTTGTGATCGATTGGATCAAAAGAAAAATTTGGGAAATTTTTTTCGTTGAAGTTCTTCGACTTGTGCATTTGTTGATACTTGGTTATTGATTTGTGCCTTGCCTTTTGGGTGTTGATTTGAGGAAGTTTAGGCAAACTTGTGATGACAAATTGTGGGTTTCAAAGGCCGTAGAGAAATCGACAAATTGTATTGACTCTTCTTGAGCTTGACTTTAAAATTCTTTAATCTTCATGGACTTTTGGTTTGTAGTATTTTGTAACTTTAGAGTTTGTGGTTGCAAATTTGTGCTTATGGTTGTTGATTGTTGAATATTTTATGAAGCTAGTTTCAAGTTCTGTTTTTATCAAGGGATAGTGGATACAGAATCTCCGACAACTATTACTTTTGGAGTTAATGAATAAACTAAATACCTACTATGACATATATCACCTCCATTTTTTTTTCTATGCATTAACTTATTTTTTAGATTTTTTTATATTTATTGACCGCATCGCCGTGATCCACTCGCATTTGTACAACATCGAGCCACATCGTCGCATTGGCCCACCCACCTCTTTCGGTTGCATCCCGCATTTTAAAACACTGATTTAGATGATGGCAGCTTATGATATAGTTATAAATTGGATGTCGGTGAAGATCTTTCTATAGAATATTGATTTTTGTCATGTTAAATAAAATGTCGTCTTCTTCATCTAGAAGTTCTGTGGGACAAGGTCGATAATGTGGTATCAAGGGATCTTCTGCTTCAGAGCCAGGAAGAGAGAGCTACAATACCAGTAAGGGAGACAACAAGTGGCATTAGTTTCCTTTGCCATGGATGTTGGGCTAAGAGAGTGAGCCTGTTATTAGGGATTGTTCTGTATTTATTTGTCCGTTTTATCATAGAATGTTAATTGCCATCGTATCAACCCTGTATGGTCCAAATTGCCTTAGGAGTCAAGACTTTGAAGCTGTTAGAAGTTGTTTTAGCTACTTTATTGCTTGGGGGGGGGCATCCGTGTGTTGAGATTCTCTTTTGAGCGGAAGGGAGGCAGTAAGATAGCTTGTATATGGATCATTTTCTTATTTTATTTGATTCCATTTGTTAATTGGTCTACATATAGATGGCTGATGTTTATTTAGTTATTTGGACGATGGTTATTGGATTTCTAGGGAGGACCCTGTGTTACTCTCTAGGTATTTTGTGGCAACATGTGGCACAATAGAAATTACTGGTCAATCTGAGACCTGGGAATTGAGGTCTATGGAATTTAGGGTTTTGGCCTCTTGTGAGCTCCTTATTTCAGTCCTTGTGTATGCACTTTGTACTTATTTCACATACTAATACAGAGGGTCAGGTACCCTCTCAAACCTCTTGCTGCAGCGAAGAAACGATAATAGCAAAGTGCAGGTCTGATCTAATTTGTCTTAGTGCAGTGGCTTTGAATGTCTCTTCTCAATCAGGTAGCTCAGCTTACCTTTTAGGTATTTTGGAAAGGGACTGTTGGGAGAGGAGGGATATAAAATGTTTCATTGTCCTTATGTAGAAGGATGGCAGTGGATGAAGAGATTTGTGAGCTTGGTGTTCTGTTTGATTCTTAATTCAACCCGACCACCCCAACCCACCCAAAAAAAAGAAAAATTTTCCTCCTTCCATCGAACATAGCTGTCATAGGACAGTAAATAATCAGTTCCTCGACTGGCCTATTTTGCTCTGAATCTTATTTTTTGTTGCCATACTGTTGAAACCTGCTCGTATTATCATTTTATTGGATTTGAACTCTATTAGTCTTTTGAGAATGGGGTTGGGGTCGTGGTGGTAGCATCACTTGTGCCCCAGGTAAGGTCTAGGCTTCCATTCTCACCTAACGCAATCAAAAAATCACTATCGATTTAAAAAAACTGGTAGGGGCTCGTCATCCCCACTGAATTACCCCCCCAAAAAAAAACTCTATTAGTCTATTCTGGTTAGAACTTTAGTATGTCATTCACAACACCTACTAGGCTTGTTTGCAATTTCTTAAGTGGAACATTCAACACCTTATGGTAGGAATCCTCTCCATGGTGGGTTCGCCAATCCTAATACTGCTGCTCCTTTGTAATTCTTAAGTTACTGAATTTGAAAAAAGTAAACATGTGCTCATGTGTGATCCTATTTTCTAGTAACCAAGAGTCAACATATGTTCCCATGCCAATCCTTGTGGACTTAGAAACCCCCTCTCTAGGGTTCCTCGCCAAGCAATTTTATCTTTAGTGCTTCTTTCCACCTATAGATGCAGGACATGGGAGAGTTTGTGGAAGAAAGAGCATGAAGATCTATTACTTAGAAGGATTGGGGAAGAAATGGATGCGGTATTAAGTTTAAGAAGTGGGAGGTCTTCGAGGCTCTTGAGGGAGGATGCTACCCTAACTTCATGGCTCAACCACTACTCCAATTCTAGACAGGGTTAAACTTCTTTTTGAAGACACATTTATACCCATAAGTGCAGTTTCTTTTTTCCCCTTTTTACCCTTTTCCTCTTTTTTTTTTTTTTAGGGGGTTGGAGATCCCCCTTATGAATCTCACTTCAGAATCTTTAGGGAGCCCGATCCGAGGTCGCTCCCCTCATCAAGGATCTCGATCCCTATCTTATGGGGATCTCGATCATTGACTAAAAGGGATCTTGATACTTATGGAAGCCTGATTATGACCCCGGGCATTTCAAAAGTTTTTGAATTCTGAATGAATCCAATATCTTTGACTTTCTGCTGATTTTTTCCCTTATAACAATAGCTAGGGACCATGTGTCAAACACTTTTGTTTTCTGTTTCATGGTTGTGGTTTGCATCAAGCACCTCACACATGCATAGTACATATATCAGGCTCCTTCCCATACAATGCTCCTAGCCGCTTCCAAAGTAGGGAGCTTTTAGGCATGGGTTAATCCTAGACTCGCGAGCCTACTTAGGTTCCCTCACCAACTCCCGCTCTTGCCCCCAACAGTTGTGTTCATACTTGCAACCATAGTTACCGGAATCTCTCGCCAAGGTCGTAATTCCAATTTGGAATCCCAATTTGGCGATTTTGGCAAGGAATCTTCATAAAATTCGTTTTTGTTAAGTCCAGAATAAGGAATCTCAATTCCAATACATGTAGAACTTATTTCTAGTATGTATTGATTCTTGATGCCGTAATTATTGGTACTCGATTCAACATTCTTTGAATCTAGATTCTACATATAATGATACTCGATTCAATTGCTTTCGAATCTAGCTTCCCAAACATCAAGTACCACGGTCCGTGGATGCAAATAGGTGAGAAGCTCGATTCCAAAGAGGTTAGAAACTCGATTCCATACATGTAAGGATCACGATTCTAGACATATAAGGATCTCGATTCTATTTGGGTCAAATCTCGATTCCTATAAAATAGAAATCCCGTTTCCTGCGATTCCCCTTGTATGGACATTGATTCTGAAAACATGAATCTTCTAGTCAATAATGATCTCGTGATTCTGATTCTTTAAACGATTAGGAACCTCAGGCGTTTCTAACAACTATACCTGTGACATTTCCCCATTCACTTGGTCATCGTATTTATGTGGCTCAAATGACAGCCATTATCTGAATGCTACAGTTTCACCACACACAGCCACTTCCATGAGAAGATCTTCTTCTCTTTCCAGTCATTTGGTGCCATTGATTTGTAGCTTGTCTACAAGAATGATATTGTGAACATTGTTATAAGATTAGCTTCAACTTGACTGAAGATGCCAAAGTCTTTGAATTTATGGCCAAACTGAAGCAAAGTGAATCTGAAAATGCTTTCCATAATTTGTTCGGGTGTCTTTGGCTTGCTTCGACTGGAAAATGGCTGTTTTTGGCTTCTGAATCACAAAAGGCAAGCAAAACTGAAAGAGAAACCTATAAGAATTTAAAAAGTATTAAAATGTCCCTTGTTTCTTTAAACTTAAAGGTTCAAAGAAAGTACAGCTTTGTTTGTCAGATTTTTTTTAGGGTTTTTTCATCGTTGAACGTCAAAGCCTTAGCTTTAGTATACATGGTGGATGTTTACAAATTTATATTTTCATTGTTTCAGTGAAAATTAAAATTAAAATGATGACTATGAGATATGAAGATTGTTATTTTTATGGATTGTGAGTGATAATGGTTTCATCATAAACATTTAATACTATCAAAGTTCCCCTTTTTCGCAATTTTTTGATAGTTTTCTTAATTTTATACTTTTCAATGGATATTGTAATTTATTTTAATATTAAAAACAACCTGAATTTTCCCTCTGAATAGGTTGAAGTATCGGAGCGCTTGCCTTTCCTAGCCCAACCGAAGAAGCCTCCAATACAAATCTGATAATATTGGTTCTTAATGTCAACACCTTGGTGCTTAGTTTCTCCAACAAACATTAATGTCCGTAGCTTCATTTGATCATTTGATGAACAATGAATCCATTGATGGCATTTAGTTGTCCTTTGCTGTATTTTTCAAACAAAGAAGCTCTGAATTATGGCATGGTTTACTGATGCTTGAACATATCATGATAGACAATGTTTAGAAAGCAAGGCGCCGCCTGATGCTTAGGCAGTTACCCCTCCTATGTAGGCCCAGGCGGGCCAGGCAGTAGCAACACTAGGCCTAGCTGCATTCCTGTTTCTTTAGTGTCACTTTACTTTTATGACTTCGACTATATTGTGGCTTGGGGGCATTGGAACTTTGGATTTGGGAATTGTATGGAGATTTGAGTCTATGAACGATGGACTCTAGTTTATGGACTCTCATTTCGGTTATTCAGAATTTGGGTACTTCTATTACTTTGTGGAAATGTAAATATCAATGGTATATCTTTTAGACTTTTACTCTGAGTTAATTTAATCTTAAATTATTAAGTGATTAATGAATTATTGCAAAAATGTACGTGGTAAATGAGAATATAGATTCTTAAATAAACGTATATGAAACAAATATATGCATATATGTGTATTTGGAGTGCGCACGTATATGTATATATTGCTGTTAGGGCTCCTCAAACCTTGGGTGCCTGCCTAGGCACCCAAACCCTTCTCATGGCCTGCGTCCGCCTAATGTATTTTCCAGAGTGGAGTTGTTTGTTCTATAATTGCAACTAATTGAGTCTTGTGGGATTTTGTTGTGCTGAAAAGCAAAAAGCATATTGCTCTTGTGTAGGTTAGACATACAGCTTGTACCTCTTATCCTCCACATGTAGATTGGGCTTGCAACAATTATGGCTGCCATTGGGGTCGAGTTTACCCCTACCTAGGTCCGACCCTTGAGTGTCCCTGCTAGACTTGAACTTGGCTGGCTCTAGGTTGATCGGACCCGGGCCTAATCCCATGGATAGTTCTTGGCTAGATCCAGACCCTCTCGGGTCCCCATTTTTTGGGACTCTGGTCCCACCCCCCATGTCCACTTCTCGTGTCCAGATTCAGATTTGCTAGGCTGTCCTGACCGGATTTGCACCCCTAGTGAGAATGATGCTTTTCGGCTAATTTATTTCCTTAAAATAATTTCATGTTTTTTCCTGAGAAAATTTACATTTGAATAAATTTATGTTTTAAATACCAATATATGATGCATTAGCAACTATATCAAATGCAATTAAGGTGCCTTTTGGTACGATGCGAAGTTTTTGCAACAGCGCATACTTGTGACATACAATAGACATCCTTCAAACATTATCAGTGACCAATAAAGCTACTAAACCTAAAACCAGTACAACAAAAGAGTTCTCTAGCAGCTTTTCTTTTTGTTTTTTGAAAGAGTTTACATGTCTAAATGACAACATAACCAATCACTTCATGTTGCTCAAAGGAGCATACAAATGGAGTCGGTCACGGGCATGCTAGGGAGATAGATTAAAAAAAAAGGGAAAGGGAGGGAGATACAAAGGTCATAAGAAGTGGCTAATTGCTGGCCACACCATTGGGTATATGTGGGCCCTCAAAAAGATCTTCTCTTTGATTGCCAATATGCGCCAGGAGTAACACTTGCATCATTTAAGCTTAAAATGCCTCAATTTTTTGTATTTGATTGTAAAATCTGGTAGATATCTTACTCTTACATAATGCTTGCACCTCACCCTAAATATTTCTTTATTGATTCCATTTCTCTTCACTAAAAAACAAAGATTCCATTTCGGAAGCGTTCTTGTTTTTATTCTTTGTATGGGGTGTCTTCAGTCCATCCAAGCCTATTATGACGTCTGACACTCCTGAAAGTACCTCAAAGGATATCGTACTGCAAAAGAAATGTAGGGGACGTCCAAAGCTGATTAAAAGGTTGGTACTCTTTTCTTTTTAGTTTGTTGTTGCTAGTTAATGTGTGCATAAATATATCGTCCTGGAGCATGTTCCTTTGGTTTTTTTGTGCCCTCTCGCTTGCTCAGTTTTTGTTTTATAGGGATTTCGGTCTTCATTTGTCTGAGGGTTCTGAAAGTACCGGAGAGGATATCGTGTGGCAAAAGCAACTTAATGGACGGCCAAAACTGACTAAAAAGTTGTATTCTTTGTCTTTTTGCCAAATTAATTTTGTTCTTGCTCTTTATTGGATGCATTGCTCTCACTTGCTTCATTTTTCTTTCTATAGGGATTTTGGTTTTCATGCGATGTCTGAGAGTCCTGAAAGTATTGCAAAGGATATCGTGCCGCAAAAGCAGCATAACGGACGGCCAAAGCTGGCAAAAAAGTTGGTATTTTTTTCCTTTTTGCAAATTAACTTTGCTCTTGTAAGTTATTGCATGCATTGCTCTCACTTGCTTTGCATTTCTTTTTATAGAAGTTTTGGTCTTCATGAGATGTCTGAGAGTCCTGAAAGTACTGCAAAGGATGTCGTGCTGCAAAAGCAACATAATGGACGACCGAAGCTGACAAAAAAGTTGGTATTCTTTTCCTTTTGCAAAATCAATTTTGCTCTTGCTAGTTATTGCGTGCATTGCTCCTGGAGCATTTTAATTTTTTTTTCAGGTCTTTTTGCCGCCCTTTCACCTGCTTCATTTTCTTTTCACAGGGATTTGGGTCTTCATAAGTTGGTCTTTGAGCCGAATGTGCTACCCAATGGAGCGGAGCTAGCTTACTATGCACAAGGAGAGGTTGCCTCTTATAGCAAAAAAGTAGACTTCTCAGTTGATACATGTTTTAAATCTTATTCTGTAATCTTATGATGAATACCATCCTTTTACTTAAACAGCGGTTGCTCGATGGTTATAAGACAGAGAATGGCATTTTCTGTTTGTGTTGTCGAACTGAGGTATGCAGCTGAAGTTTTGTGCATTATGCTGCAATTCTTGGTTCTTATGGAGCTAGAACTTGATTTTCTTAAATTTGATGACCAGGTCAGCCCTTCAACTTTTGAAGCACATGCTGGATGGGCTTCACGACGGAAACCGTAAGTTCTATTCCAAATTCCTGGTAGTTCATTTTGTGTGCTTAGTATTTCAAGCATGATCTAAGCGATTGTTTTTTGTTGCTTAGTATTTCAAGCATGATCCAAGTCATTTGTGTTGTTAGTTATTTTAATTTTGTATGATAAAAGAGCATGAGCCAAGTCATTTGTGTTGTTAGTTGTTTTAATGTTGTCTGATAAAAGAGCTCGTTTATGTTTATGCAGCTACCTACACATATACACTTCCGATGGAGTTTCCCTTCACTCACTTGCTGTTTCCTTGTCACGAGATCGGAAATTTTCTAATGTTGATAATGATGATCTTTGCACATTTTGTTGGGATGGTGGCAACCTCCTACTCTGTGATGGATGCCCAAGATCCTTTCATCCAGGTGACCGCGATTTTTTATTTTTAGTTATTTTTATAAAGTGCCGTCTCTACATTTGCTTATGTTCTCATAATTGTTTTTTGTTAATTAATTTTTGAGCAATTGTTTTCATGGAATAGCGTTGCTTCCCACTTAGGAAGGTTTATTAAAGGCTTCCTGTGGAGGAAAGACTGAATAGAAATCTTCTTAGATTGTAAATAGGCTTGCATCCATTCTTTCATGAAGGCCTTGGCCGAATTGCAGGGCGCTGCCGTAGGTGATGATCACAATCTCTGTTCTCTGTGGACTTGATGCTTGAATGCCCTCAGTTAATCTTTTCCAGTGCTTCTGAGAAGCATGAGGATTTGTGCTACATGGGGTTAGAATCTTTTATTAAAAGAGATTACATTCCATTCGTTATAGCTAAGGACTAGCACATGCAAATGCAGAGATATGTAGTGATTCTATATGGTCAGCCCTTGTTTTTTTCTTATTTATTTATTTATTTATTTTATTTTTTTTTGGGGGGGGGGGTTGTTATCATTTCTTGGCGGTTGATCCAATGTATGATATGAATTTTCGTGATCACGTCCACTTCTTCTTTTCATCCTTCTTCCTTAATATATTTCACGCAGACATGCTGAGAGATGGAGAGAGAGATGAAAATGCTACATGAGATAGTTGAGGTTACTGGCAGTGTTCCTTGAATTTTTCTTGCAAATGGAGTGATAATTGGATGCTTGAGATCAATGATTTGACAATTCAGATGATGATAAATTTGGATTCATTAGTTTAGGGAGATGTGAAAGGCTACTATTGAGCTTAATGCTGAACAAATTGGATCTTGGAATTGGTTGAGTTTTGTTTGACAATGCAGCATTCTTGAAGATTGGATGTCATTTTTTAGAGTTTGTCTACTTCTGCTTTGTTGCACGAGGTTCTCACAGTTGAAAGCAGTTAGACAATGTTGCTGCTCCATGCTGTTAGATAATGTTGGGGCTTATTTGTATTAGGCTGCTTACATTGAGTAGGGCCGACTTTTAGTATACTTCTTGAAATGTGGCTTTCGACGTTTTTAATTAGTTATACATGTAAACAATTTTCATGAGTCTTTATACTGAATTATTTGTTTTAGGCAGAATTTGCTTAATTATTTCATACGATGGCCCTCTTTGGTTAAGTTTTTGTCCTATTTCCATGAGTCCTATTTCCATGAGTCTTTATACTGAATTATTTGTTTTAGGCGGAATTTACTTAATTATTTCATACGATGGCTCTCTTTGGTTGTGAAGAAAACGGGACGATGCGATGCGTGTGAGAAAACTTCAGGGCGCACTAGCGCACTCCAGCAAGAAAATGGATTCGCGTTAGCGCCGCGCTAGCCATTGCTTCTTGCTTTCGAGCTGTAGTTTGCTGGGTGCACTAGCTGCGAAGAAAACTACAGTGTGCTAGCACGCACGTAGGCGGGAAGACAAGCAAGAAAACAGATGTGTGTTAGCCCTGCGCTAGCCGTTGCTTCTTGCTTTCGAGCTGTAGTTTACTGGTTTTTTGCTCTTGCGAAGCAAAAGTTTGAGAGTGCTTTGCCGCCCCCTAGCAGAGCGAGTGCTTTAATGTGTAGCACAAGAATCAAAGCACCCTAAACAATTGGAAGTTGCGTTTAAGTTTGTGTCATAGGTGTTTTGGAATAATCTCCTATCTAAAATTGCATTTTCATACTTATTTATCCATATATTGATAGGTATTAATAAACATATACGCACCACATTGCTTTTTCAAGACTATCAAAGGCTTTATATTTAGTATGTCTCTATCTTGTGACATTGTGAATAAAGTGCTTATTTTGTCTAGTCTGCCAATGTGCTAGAAAGTATACCATCCTCTTGGGGACTGCGGAGAAAATCAGAGGCCATTTTAAGTTGATGGGTGGTCTTGATCCAAGTGATTATGGTTCTCTGTAGTCCATTGGATTGTAGTATACTTTTCAATAGGTTTGCTATAGCAACTTTGGGTTCATACGATTTTTTTATGGTGTTTCTGGATTCATTATGCTGCCATGTCTATGTTTTTCTGTTGCTATGCAACTTTGGGTTCATACATTTTTTTTTTATAATTTTTTTTTATCTTTTTACTTCTATTTTTATGAGGAATCTGTTTTCACCTTGAGATTAATTCTGTCATTGATGATTCAGGCATGCTTGTGCTTGCTGATGAAAGAATTTTCTATACTGTTTCTGATTCTTGTGATGATTCTTTCAAATGTTGATTTGAGTTTCTCCATAAATTGAATTAACATTAATGTTTGCTACAGACTGTGTGGGCTTGCCATGCATCCCCAGGGGTGATTGGTACTGTGCCTATTGTGAGAAGAACTCGTTGGACTGCAAGTCTATAGATCAGACAACTGAGCGTTGCAGACGAGTAGTGAAGACAGCTGCAACAGAAGTGGGTGGCTGTGTCTTGTGCAGGTTGTTGTTACAGTACTTTACATTAAGGATGAAATATTCTACCCTCTTGAATACATTCAGGTCTTCAAACCTTATGTGCATGTATGTGTAAGATCGTTTGATTGAACTGTGTAAATTGAACTTAATAAGTTCAACAAGACAGTTCCCAGTTTAAGATTCTAAAAAATCTGAAATCTGAATCTTCGTAATTTTTTATTGTTATCATATTTTGAGTTGCTAGTATAATCTTTTTCTGGATCTATCTATAGTAAACAGTAATCGGTGCCTTGTCCCTGGGCAAAGTTTCATCAGTTGTGTGTTTGTTCTTGTTTTGGATCAGGGCTCATGATTTTAACAAAACCGGCTTTGGTCCTCGGACTGTTATTCTCTGTGACCAAGTATGTTTTTGTTGCCTTGTTTATGTCAACTGTTTAGAGGTTGGTGCACTTCACTTTCTTACAACCTTTGTATGACTTTTTCAGTGTGAGAAGGAATATCATGTTGGTTGTTTGAAGGATCATGGAATGAGTGATCTGAAGGTATTACTTTGTGCTATCTCCTGTCAGGGTAGTTGATTGCAGTTTAGTGCTTGCAACATGCAATTATACAAAGATGATTTAAGTTCCCATTTTGAATATATAATTCACTTGGCACTCATTGTTTTCTCTGTAACAGGAATTGCCGAAAGGCGAATGGTTCTGCTCTGCAGGTTGCAGTAGGATTCGTGCTGCTTTGCAGAAGTTGATTGTTCATGGGGACGAGAGTCTTCCAACTTCGCTTACAGATATTATAAAGAAGAAGCACAAAGAAAAAGGCCCAAGTACAGAAGGTCTTGGTGACATTAGATGGAGGCTTCTTAGTGGAAAAATTGCTTCCTCTGATAGCAGAGCATTACTCTCTAAAGCTGTTGCTCTGTTTCATGTGAGTGTTCCCTTAGTTAAACTGAGATACTGGATTGTCTTATGACCTTCATAGCTTCCATTTCATGTTTACAACTTCAATGTTGATGAATTACTATATGGAGATGCAGACTCAAATGGCGTCATTTTCTACTGGGCAGACCTTTCTGTTTTCTTAAAATTATAATCAAGAGGATTGAATTGTTTCTCAATGTATGTCATGTGTCTGTACATCAGGGGTTTTCACTATTCTAGAACTGCAGAAAGATATATTGTAACACTTAATATATAGTGATAGTTAAGTGGAGTGACAAGAAATGCTTCTCTCTTAGCCAGTAAGGTTGAACTCTTTGGCTTCACTATCCAGACCATATTGAAGCATTGTAGATCAAAAGCCTCCTCCTTGGCTCCCAGTTGTCAGCCTAGAGGCATTTGGACAAAATAGTGACTGGAAACCCGAGTTGCCTGTAACGGCTTGAGTAAATTTTTTTTTTACCTGCATTGTATTTTGCATCGAATGTTCCTTGTTCTGTAGTTTGCTGATTGATTATTGTTAGGAAAAGGTGAGGTCGTCTCTCAATAGGCACTGTCAAGGGTTTTCTTAAGAATGGGAATGTTTCTACCATTGGATGACAGTCCTTACGAATTGATTTATAGTTTAGCAAACATGGTTGGGGAGCTGGAGTAAATTACTATCCTTGCGTTAGCCAAATTTCAGTCTTTGACTAGGCCAATTAGAGGAACTTGAGGTGCTAATCTTTTATTGATGGAAATTTTTTTCACGTATTTGGAGATCCCTCTTCAATGGGATGGCTGTGAAGGAAATGCTATTTCAGATGTCACACGTGTGTTGGAATGGGGTAGTCATGATGAAGAGTAGTTGTTTTTTTCCCTTTAAACTTGCAAGGGGTTTTTGTGGGTCCCCACCCAGTGTATATAATTATATTGGTCTCTTATATGTTCTGATTATATTGGCCTCTATATTGCACTCTATTCTTAGGTACATGAGGTCATCACCACTTGTCACTCAAGTGGGTTTGGGAGATACTACTTCCCATCTTCTATAAATGGTTCTCTTGTTTCATTTTGTAGAGGAATAAGCATATTTTCAGGGATGTCCCTTGGAACACTTTGGAAGGATTGCTCGCATCTTCTTTAGCCCTCCAATTTCTAGCCAAATTACTTATGTAATTGTGGGGTGTGAGACTTTCCAAATCTTGGCTAGAGATTTGTTTGGAATTTTCTTTTGAACCAGTTTGTCTGGAGGTGAGGAATGAGTTTTTTTCGCGAGGCTTAGGTGAGCTTCAAAATGGTATAGTCATCTGAGAGTCTGCAGGGTTAGAAGCTTAGGGCAATGACTTGGAGCCTAGAGCTGCAACAAAGCCATGAACACTTATGTGATAAAAAATAGGACTCAAAGGGGACATGTTCACATTATATGGAGCTCATAAGAAGTGAGAAATGGGTGCTATATGATGTTTTATGGCTGAAGCCTTAAATGATAATCAATCAAATATGCAAATAAACACAGGTACCCTGAGTCCCAGAGTGTCCCATGCTCCTGTGGGATTCTTTGGGTTTAATCTTTTTATTTGTTATTTTGCAGCATTTGGGAGTGGGGGGGTGGGGGGGAATAATGCTGGCTGCCTAGGCACATTGTGGCAGCCTAGGCAGGCACTTAGGTTTCGAGATCCCCAGTGCATGTATATGTATGTAGGACATGATGCTATATATTATGACTTTAAGTCTGTAACTAAATTACATATAATGCAGGTAAATATGTAATAATTAACAAACTATTTATTTTACTATAAACTGTAAAGTATATATTAGTCTCATAAAAACATTAAAAATTTGAATGATAGTAGAAATCCTAAGTTTGAAATTAACTAGGTAAATGTTGAATAGCCAAAATTGCCTCTATTAACCTCTTTTGATATTTCACAAAGAATGAAATCCAAAAAAGTTGTATCTCATATGATTTCTCAAAGTTCATATCTTCTAAAAAAATATGGTTTTTTTTTTATATTCATTTCATCGGAAGTAGTTAGGGAGCAATGGGTGCGGTGCAAATACCCTCCCACCAAAATCAAATGTCCTTTCCCCCATTGATATGGGGGATTGACCAAAATTCCTATGGCTGCGGGCATATGGTAGCTTAAAGTGGGTGCCTCAGCTGAGGTGCTAGGTGCATCCATGAGAGCTAGACACCCTCCTTGGTTGTCTCACCTAGGTGGTCTGCCTTGCAATTGGCGATGCACCTAGGAATCTGCACTGCCTTGAGGGGCCCGAAGCTGGTGCTTTTTGGGACACTGTTATCAAATTTTATAGTATGTGCTTCCACCAATTTATGTTTTACGTTATTTGCCCTTAGAAGCTGCCATATGAGATTTATGGAGCGGAGTTTTATTATTGTGTTTGTTCCTTTTTTTTTATTTTATTTAGTTGTTCATATTGAGGTGCCATGTACTCGGAAATCTAAAATGAACAATGCTTTTTCTGCTTACTGTCTATGTACATGTACTTGCAGGACTGCTTTGATCCTATCCTTGAGATAACAACAGGCCGTGACTTGATTCCAACTATGGTCTTTGGGTGAGGAAAGATGCAATTGCTATTCACTTCTTAATTTACTTCTTTCCACCATTTGTACCATGATTATGCTTTGTATTCTTCTCTTAACACAACTCTACTCCACAAAATAACCTCTTTCTGTGATCAACATCTGCAGAAGGAGCATGAGAGACCAAGAGTTCAGCGGAAATTATTGTGCTGTGTTAACTGTAAAGTATGAACAAGTTGACTGTGTTGGCATTCAATTTTGTTCTTATCTTCACTTAATTTTTTTGAAGTTTTTGCTAAAGTTTTGGCTTTCTTCTGCATAATGCAGCTCATCAGTTGTATCTGCTGGAATTCTCAGAATTTTTGGACAGGAAGTTGCCGAACTTCCCTTAGTTGCTACAAGTCTTGATTGTCAAGGACAGGTTGAACACGGCATACTGGGTTTTATTTGTTAACTGGAATCTAGTATTATTGCATATGTTGTTTTTCTCTATTTCATGTTACATTGGAGCAAGAAAGTTGATATGGTCTACCTATATCTTGATGTCCTAGTTATGCCCTTGATATGTTTGAAACTTGTAGTGAACCATTGGGGCAAGAACATTCCAAATTAACTTAACGTCGAGAGTTTGACAAGTGGTTAATATTCGTGGTACTGATCTGTTTTATGGGCCATCAAGGTTCATTATTCTCTATTTTCTGGGTGCAATTTTCAAATGCAACTATATGCCTTGTATTAGGAAGCATTTGGTCTTTTAGTATGATGGGATTCACCATTGATTGCAGCATACTAGGAAATACCTGGTCATGGCATACTGATGAGACCCTTTTTGAGATTATGGAAACAACTTAGACTTAATTTGTGGCTACCATTTAACCTTTTTCCTTTTGGATGGCTATTATCATTTTTAGCCTTCAGCTGTTGCTTTATCTGAACATTATCTGATATTTAGAGTTTGGACTTCAAGATTGAGATCAAGCATGAAGCTGCGCGTGTTCTTGTGTAATCAGGGGTACTTCCAGGCATTATTTTCGTGCATTGAGAGATTGCTGGGCTTCTTGAATGTCAAGTATATTGTGCTTCCAGCTGCTGATGAAGCTGAGTCTATTTGGACAGAGAAATTTGGGTTCACAAAGATGAGTCAAGACCAGGTAGTGGCCATCATCTTTAATTGAAAGGGAATTTATAAAAATGCACGTAATCGAACTTTTAATATTTTACCCATTTCTACATTAATTTCAAAAAGTCAATCAAATTACGCATGGTCCTGAATTCAAATATTTGAGAATTGGTAGAATGTTAAACAGTTGATAAGTTTGGTGTATTTTGATAAGTTTCCCTTTTGAAACCTCAATTACATGAATCCTCATGAGACATTTTAAAATATCCAAGGTCCCCCAAGTCCATACACAACAAAGAAAAAACTCCACAAAATCTTCTTATATAGGAACTGGTTCATAAATGTTCTTTTAAGAAGACACTTTTTCATCAATGTATGTTTTGAGTCCAAAAGAGAAGACTATCATTTTGCAAGTGTGAGAAAACTGCTATATTCAAATTTTATTTCAATAAAACACACGAGTGTTTGCCCACACCAAACTGGTGTTTTAAAGTGGCACTCATAGAAGCCACTCAACCAGGAGGTCAGTGCCACCTAAATTCTGCCTCGAAGTGCCAAAATGTGTTTTATGGCAATATCTAGACCAGTTCTTGGTGAATCCGAAAAAGTTGTGGTTTTTCCATACTAGATTCCTCGTCTCTTCTAAGAGAAAAATTTAACACAAAATATCTAAGAATCTCTTCTTTTATTTGGAATTCTTTTAAAAATCTTCAAAAGTATATTTGATCATCTCATAAGTTCTTTTGGCAAGTCTTTTATGAGTTCTTGTGACAAATTTAAGTTCTTTTTCCAACCAGAAGACTCGAGAATTTTCTCGAGTTCGCACAAGGAATTGCGGATGGGTTGTTACATAGCTTTATTTCAAGTTCACACATGCGCATAAATATTTTATTGTTGTCCTTTTTCTTTGATTTGCTTGATGAGTTGGAACTAAATTTGAGAAATAGCTTTCTGGCATAATACATTCTTTTTCCTTTTAGGTTACTGAGCTTAGCATGCCTTGCTTGCAGGTGTCTAGGTACACAAAGGATCGCCAGATGATGGTCTTTCAAGGGACCTCAATGCTTCAAAAAGCTGTTCCTAAGTGCCGTGTTATACGGCGTGGTCCAAATGGTAGCTGAGACAAGATTCTTTTTGGTGGGCTTGAGTAGAGTGAAGCCTTGTCTACATTCCTTTTTGTAGTACTGTCTTCAAATATTAAGTCATGAAAATGTACAGAAAAGAGAGAGAGAGAGAGAGAGAGAGAGAGAGAGATGGCGGGGAGAGAGAGGGGTCTCTATTTTTTTGTTGGTGTAAAGGTAAAGTGGGTCTCTCTGCCCGCACTTGTCAGATTCGTTCTTTAGGCTGTCTTATTTCGTATCCATAAACTATGCATGCGGGGGTCATTTGTTCTGTCGAATTTTGAACAGAGATATCAATGGAAAAATGGTGTTTCAATCGCAAATTTCATTCATGGTTTTCTATTTTCCTCTCTCTCTCTCTCTCTCTCTCTCTCTCT